AAAACATCATGTATTAAAGGCTCTTCGGAATGACAGAAATTAATTCACATATGTATTATTATTATTCTCTTGGTTCCTAGTGGAACATAGGGCTTCAGTAACATGCTTCCATTTCACTCTATTCTCTGCAGTCTTTTGTACCTGACACCGCGACTGCCCACAAGCTATTCACATATGTAGGTCAGTCGAAAAGAAAGAAACAACCAATTACTAAACGGCTTTTAATTATGTCAATGGAAGTATAACTAAAGTGCCAAGAGCTGATTTGGCTTGAAGTTTATCTTAAGTAAGACGTATTCAACAAAGGCATTCATTGATCTAGACTGACATGATAATTTCATATTATTGGTCAAAGAGATAACCGTAGACTTAGCACAAATTTGAAAGAAAATCGCTCTACTCAACAATGATCGTTGCAAAATCACCAGAAATATCAATAAGCTATGCGGAAAATATTTTCCAAGAAGTAAATCCTTATCAAATACTTCATCTTTCAATTTATCATATATTTACTTACATTATTTGTATACTGGAGGCTGGCATTGGAATGCAGGCACATCCAGCTAATGAGTCGCAAATGGAGCAAAACGTACTCTTAAAGTTCTACCGGTAGTCTCCATCAAGAAAATAAGTTCAGCACGAAACCTATGGTAATATCGATGGATCCGCTCAAGGATCTAATATACTGACAGAGATTGATCAGCTCGTTTCAGTATAATCATCAATAGAAAATGACAAACATCTGTAATTTATTGCACCTTATGAACTACTTACAAAAGAAATAAAAATGTTCCATTTAGAACTATTGGTGAACTATCTTTAAGTTGATGACTACTATCCAGGAGTTATCGAACTTTCCGCGGTAAATGTCTTCCGTATTTCATAGAAGCGTAATCTACTATTCTTACAAATATCTGTCCAACGTAGAATCTCTTAAACTTCATTACAGAAGCTAAAGATAATCTCTAACTGTATATGTACCTTGCATTGTGTATTTAAGCTAACTCTGAGGTTTATTAAGTGCATGGACGTTAAACAGATCATTACAGATCTCTAGTAACTATTTTCTTAAACGGAATACTCACTTTATTTTGGATGAATTTGTTGCTCATCAAACGAACAGTGAGAATCAAAGTCTCACTGCCTAACTTGTTGGACATAATTAACTTGTAACTTGTTTTTTCCTGTAAGTCAATACCATAGTGTTTTACTGAGGATCTTACAGAACATTATTTGCTCATATATGATGATCAGATGAAATCTCATTTCATCGCATTGCGAAATTGATCAACACTGAACATGAAAGAACAGACAAAATGATACTGATTGCTCTCTATTGAGTGAACGACATATCTACTCCGCCAAATTTTCATAATACCTCAACGATAGAGTTTGTAAATACCAAGCTGAATGGCATAAATCTGTTAGAGGATACCGTTTCCGTTGAGGCTGAAGATATACCTTACTGATGACTGTGAACAAATACGAGACTTAGATCCAAAGCTTCCTGATAATTGCCCCTGACTACTGAATATTAGACAAACTACATCGTGTGGTGTGTCTTTTGTTTTAGTGATAGCAATACGTGGTGCATCCACTAACTTCGGTTGATACTAATGACCAGACCATATAACACTAGTTACCTTAGAGAGGTTTATCAACATTCATAGTCTAGTTAAAGAAGAAATGTAATATTTATGATAAATTAATTTTTGTTGCTACACATAGATCTTTACGACGTCACAACAAATGATGATTTTTCTCAGCTGAAACGAAATGAAACAGCTACAGATTTACATTCGTTTCTACACTCTTAACATTTCTAAAGCTTTTTTGACTTCCTCATCAACGTTTGCCTTAACGGACACATAGATCTGTTAAAAGCAGTAATTGACTTGTGTGTTTACATAAAATAAATTTCTAACAGATGTGGATTTCGCTGATATTTTAGCACCAGTATTGAAAGATAATTAAAAAGTTCATGTGCTGGTATTTGCAAAGAGAATGTATGTGACAGTATAAAAGGGATGAAGTTGACAGTAGTAAATTTTTGGTGAGTAACCACAAATCGAATTAGGATATCGTTGACTCAGTATTAGGATGACAGTTGTGACTCTTTTCATCACAAAAACAATTTAGGCAATCAAACAACTTTTGTCTTTTTCAGAATCACAACCGCTTAATACTTGAAGCAGATACCCAACCAACAACACCACCAATAACAACAAACTCCAATCACCATCAAAAAGGGGGAAATTTAAGGAAGTAGCCTCCTTCACCTATCTAGGCAGCACTGTCCCAACTACAGGCGCCACAGGCACAGTCAAGGTTGTCAAAGCCAGGACCACAAAGATAGCAAGACAGGCGTTCACTAACCTGAAACCAGTGTGGAGATCTTCTACACTGCACTCAGCATAAAGCGTGAACAACAACTGGATTTCCAACACCAAAGTCAAGTCAGTGCTCCTATATGATTCAGAGACTTGGCACATCACGAAAAGCACTTCCAACAAACTACAGTCCTCCATCAACAACTGCCACATACGCTGGCTCCTTACTGAAGACCAGATGGATGGGCAGAAAGAATAAGCAACAAGGAACTCTCACATAGCAACGAACCAACCAACAACCTATCGCTCAACAACATGCAGAAGAAAGTGGAAGTGGAGACGGATTGGGCATACACTTAGAAAGCCGACTGTAGACATCATGCTCCAGGTCAGGCCCTAGAGTGGAACCTAGACAGGAAACGATGAGTTGGGCGTTGTAGGCAATGTTGACATGGAGGAAACCTTGTGAGGAAGAAATGAAAGCTTCTGGGCTGTCGTGAAGCGAGGTTTAAGAGTTTGCAGAGAAGAGAGTGCACTGGAGACGTGCTACTGAAGCTCTATATTCCATTAGGAACCCAAGGGACAAATAATAATAATATTACTTGAAGCAGTAACCTCCTGGTAATTTATGAATTACATACAATGTTTATAAATCCAATAGATCAGATATTACTGAAGGTGATGTGTTTAGCACACTGTAATATAAGAGATCCGATAACTGTCAGTTAGTACATATACAATTCTAGTCACAAAATATGGGTATATACTATATTAGTTCAAAATATATCACTTCTTGACAATATATGGGATGAGAATCAACCAGTGTGGTACAGTGTTACAGAGAATATGAGGAAATGGAAGATTATAGTCCAGTCTATGACGGGAAGTTACAAGTAATAACATACAACTATACTCACTTCACAAAGAGTGGATATCATGACTCATTAGCCTAGTGGATACAGCTTTGGCGTTTGGAGTTGCCGGTTTTGGGTCTGAAATTTTCGTAGAAATAACACCGCACATTGTAAGGCAAGATCGTTCAGCTGACGAGTCCCACACAGGACGAAACGCAAGTCCCGAATTCCACTACAGGTGACTGTCTTTCATCACTATCAGATTAAAGACATGTTGATAAATGCTTGTTCTAGATTTTAAAAGAAGACCATAAAACGTTACAATTTAACTTGACAACCACAAGCAGGTTCGTACAATAAGCAATCAGCCACACTTATTGTATGAGAGCTGATGAAAGTTCTAGGCTTTCTATACCTCTGTAACTGGATTGGAAACTAAACCCATGACGCACTGATAATAAGTCAACTGCTTCGACCAATGAAGAGACTATAAGCAAATTCAAGTACAATTATCCAATGTACTTTGTGCAACTATATAAAAAATCTTAGATAGATGGATAATATGAAGACCTATGCAGACATATGAGCGAAAAGATTGGTTAGAAAGAATCTTTATAGAGATAAGAATAACCAGCAGTGAATAGAGGCTTGATGTACTCTCCTTTTCACTTCGTTATGGCTTATTCCTCATTCAAATGATTTTAAAAAAGTTGCCTTATGTTAGACAACATAAATTACATGTTTTTAAATTTCCCTTCCACATGTCTGCAATTCGTTCATACATCCCAAGTTTATTTCGTAGTGTCATTTTCGTTTATAACAATTTCAGTGCATGATTCTACTTTTTTGCTCGTTAGCATCACTAATAATATGTATTTGTATGAATATTCGAGAAACTGAATCTTATCTAGTCTGGAGATAGTATGAACATTCTCACGAGAGCCTATTGCCCCTTTCCTCTCTGCCTACATCGGCTGGAAGTTTGCATTTTATTTGGCGGTTGACAATGAATTATTTCCTTTTTACTCGCAAGCCTATCTGTACCGTTTTGCGTGCACTGCACTTTTAGTCTCAGTACAGCCATAACCTGACAAAGACCGTAATATCAATAAGTATTTTGCTTTCACACAACACATAAATAAGTGAAATTTCGTCTGACATATGCGACATACAGAAAGATAGTAATATACGGTTTAAAAGCTTGATTATCATAGTCACCTCAAAGAAAACTCTAAAATAATCAGGGCAAAATCGAGAACCTGATAGACAAGATGCGAAGTTATTTATTCCCATACAACACTAGTCACAGTAGACGGAATTACTGCACTCTAACTAAACCTTAAAAAAACCTAAAAAATAAAAGTTGACCTAATTTCTAATAGTAAGGATGGATAGTGACTAGCAGTGTAGTCTAGAAAGCGTGTTTTGTTCTACTTGAGACTCGTCAGTTGGATGTACCTGGATTCCAGTGAATTATGATGTTCTGTTAATCAAAATAAAGGTAACCGGTTCATCGCAAAGCTAATCAACAGTCTTTCTGTATAATTTCAATTTATGATTACATTCATGTTATTTTAATGAAGAATGAAAATGTTCACAATGTATAAAAAACTTTTGCGGACAGAAATTTACTTATTAAAGAACTGCTGACCAAAACAAGTTAGTGAAATGAGTAATTTTCAAAGTGTAAATAAGTAGTCATATCAAAGTGAATGAACATGTATTAAACTGCATTACATTGCAGGCAAACAAGATAAAAATAACGAAAAAATGGCGTTGGGTAAACACAAAAAGGAAGCTGTCTTGTTATCTCTTTTTATTCTTCTACAGCTGGTTGTTGTTGTAATGCGCTGGCACCAAGCTGGAAGAAACTACCAACATAAAGAAGTACACATGCTGACCACGCCATTGGTACCATTCCGCCGGCTAGATACAGTGTATTGTTGCGAACAGTCTATAAATAAGTGGAAAAAGAAGAAAATGAATTAAAGTTTGCCATGATTCATCATTCAAACCTCAGCATCTCATCAATCTGAAATCAGTGTGGAGATCGACTGCACTCAGCATAAAGCGTGAACAACATCCGGATTTTCAACACCAATTCAGTCAAGTCAGTGCTTCTATATGCTTCAGAAACTTGGTGCATCACAAAAAGCAATTCCAACAAATTACAGACATCCAACAACAGCTGCCATCTACGCTCACTCGATACTACAGTGAAGATCAGATGGATGGCCAGGATAATAAGAATAAATAACAAGCAACTCTGGCTGGCTGGCTGGCTGGCTGGCTGGCTGGCTGGCTGGCAACGAACCAACCAAGAGGCTATCGCCTAAAAAATATGCCGGAGAAAGTGGAGATGGATGGGGTAGGATTGGATTGTTCATAGACTGAGAAGACCGTTTGGGGATATCATGCGCGAGGCCAGGCCGTGGAGTGGAATTCAAATGGGAAGTGACGAGGTGGGCGTCCGAGACGGGGGCGACAGGAAGGAGAATATGTGAGGAAGAAATGAAAGGTTATGGGCAGTTGTCAAGCCAGGTTCAGAAGACCGCAGAGAAGAGAGTGAAAAGGCGACGTGCCACTGGAGCTCTATGTTGCACTAGGAATCCAAAGGACAAATAATAATAATAATAATCTCAGCAGTATACTTCTGATTCTTAATTTAGTGATTTGTTATCTGCTGCTGCTCTAAATTACCTTATTACAGTTTGATCACAATCATTCAGTTAAAACTTTCAGTCTAAACCATCTCAAGCTATTTTTCAGGTGACTCTAATCTGAGACACACAATGATTCCTTTTTCATTTTAATTCATAACTAGTTGTTAACTATGCTACTTATTGGATAATGGTTATGTAAGCAGTTTAATGCATGATTTAAAATGCTTTAGATAGCCAACAGAAATTGCCACATCCTCAGTTGAAACAACTCAATGTCCATACTATACATACTTCGTCAGAATAAACGTAGAACCTTTAGTTTCTTGAGCGAACGCTTAGTAACCTCGTGATAAGTCATATCCCGTAGAATTTCCAGAAGAGATAGGGTGAATGGTTAGTCATTACAACTCTGCATTATGAACACATTAAAACTGTAAAATGATAGTTATCAAATGGCTATGTAATCATCACGAAAATTAAAGATCCCTAAATCAGGAAAGAATCAAGGAGATGCATAATTCGTGACAAAGTAATGGAAAGTTTCAAATACTCGTTGATTATCTAGATTTACTGGTTTATATTAGTTCATTAATTGACCTTACATGAACCGTTTTATTGAAAATGATGCACATCTTTTGCAGTGTTCCAAAATATGTCTTAGAGGTTGAATTTCTAAACTCTAAGCTGATTTCATTCAAAAAATCCAGTAGCACGAAATCAAGTTGAAATTTATTTGATGTCAGATTTTCGAAATCATTCAGTAAGCAGCCGTAAGTCTGCAATGTATGGTTGATAGAACTTATCGATACACTATACCTGTCACCTCGACTCAACTCTCCCGGAAATGTAAACTGGTATCTCTCAAAAATCCTTTAAGAAATATGAGTACAAAGATACGTCAAGGTTGACCAACTGATGAGAGAGTAAACTTAGTCTGGAGAGGTCTTATCAACAAATCTTTTGTATTGTATGCCCAGCAGTCCACAGTTACATCATACTTCAGAATATTTCTTCCGGTCTATGTATCACACAGCGACAAGATTAGCATAATGTAGTTTTTGATTTGTCATGAAGTTGGTGATAGTTTACCAGAACTTGAAAATGTTGTAATAGGTATAGGCTGATAATGTCCATAATCAGATGTTCTTATTAGTGACAACAAATTAGTTACTGGAAAGCTTGAACTAGTTATCTATTTCTGATATGAAACACAAGAGTATTTGGCGAATAATCTTGGTGAACAGCCAAAATGATGTCCCATAAATACCCACTCATCTTAACATTCCACTAGAAATTTATAATAAGATATATGAGGGAAATCACTTTGGAATTGTAAAGATTGCATTCAGGGGAGCTCTCACCTTAAGCAAAGATGAATGTTTATAATCTCGACGTCAGTCTTATATCACTCATTTCACAATCAGGTGTCAGTTTGTTCGTATATAAGTAGAAATTAACTAAACAGATTCATCTGATCCTATATGTTAACTATTTGGGAAGCTCGGTAGTTATAACATCGGAATATAACAGTTAAAGATAGTATTATGCAGCTTAAAGCTTTGTCTCAGAGCAGAAAAATGGCATATGAATTTCAAGTAACTTTACTGAATCTGCACAATAAATTTATGAGTAGCATAATGATGAGTGACAATGAAAGTATCTTACAAAATTAGTAGCATTAGAAGTCATCATAAATTTCATAGTAATTTTTTAACTACTAATAGTAGTAAGATCAAATTTTTTAAAATATGCAGGTAAATTAGCACTCACAGTGGACCAGGCAGATCTTGCAGATTTTAATGTACTATCCAGTCGATAATTCTCTTGTGACATTTCCTCATAATAGATTAAAAGGCTTATGAAGTAAATGAGGCCTGATAAGTTAAAAGAAAATGATAGAGTCAACGGGAAAGAAAGGTTTGTTTTACATTAGTGCGTCATACGACAAATAATAATAAAGTGTATGAAAGAAAAAAGTTATGACTTACATGACAGCTTTAATATTTAGTCATTTCAATAAAAGTTTTTGGTTTTATTCCCAAAGGGTGAATAGCCTTAGCAGCAGCTTACTAGTTTACATAAAATACATTAGACTCGCTGAAATCATCAATTCGCTAATACTATTCTTAGGCAACAATCAGTCAGTTTGTTTCTACTATCGTAGTGATGGAAATATCCAATGTGCATGGCTGGTTTTGTGTTCTTAATTGCCCGGTGTTATTTAAATGTCTACTTTCTCACTTCTTTTCTCATCTATTGTAAGCCATTTATTTTCTCTTATATTCATATTCCTGTTTTCACACTAGCCTCTTTAACGCTTTCAGTATGTTATTCATTTTCATCACTCCAGTGATATTGTAGTTATGCAATAATAACAGTGATAATTTCACAGTTTATATCCTTTAAGTTGAAGCAAACAGTCCTCAGGCAGATAGAGTTTCCTTTTTTTACCATGTGAAATGGTCTGAGCTGAGGATGGAAATTGTTAAACATTTACTGTAAACTAATTTTTGCGTAGGAGTGAACTCATGAACTAAGTCATAATTGTTGAGCACTTTTATCTAGTATGGTATGTGAAAAATAATGAAAACTTCAGTTTGATAATCATTCATAACTTTTTCTATGTTGACTGAAATCGATTGATCATTCCTAGAAATAAATAGTTTAAGTTAATCAATAAGACATTTCTTACTAGCGTACAGTTTTCAGAATGACTTATCCAGAAACAAACTAGGTATTTACAAAAGTGTGCATTCTGTGGTAAGAAATCTCATCATGGACTACATACTTTTGCAAACACCTCATTTGGCCCTTTAAATAACCAGTTCACTCATTTAGCTAGTCAGAATTTGGGTGGTTTGAACAGTTCAGTTCTGTGAGTTTAAACACTCCAGGTACACCCCTGATGAGCTTGACCTCAAAGGAGCTAACAGGCAGACAGTTGTTTAGAACTCCTTGATCTGGCTAGCGAGCCCTGCTAATCGATATGAGTTGCCTAGACGTACTCACATCATTCAGTACAATATCATATATAGCTTATTGAGAACGTCAGAGAAACTCGCTTAATGTGAGAGATGTATACTGAAATCATCGTATATTAGACAAGTACATTTTTACTGAATTCAGTATGAAATTTTCTGGAAAGGGATCACCTGAAGACTGAATAAAATATAAAAATATGAAACGGAAAACAAGAGGAATTCATGATGATTCTCATCGTACACTTGGAAAAAAGAAGCTGGATAATTACTTTTTGTATAATCAGAACTGATATCAACAAACATAAAATTCAAGAGAGCTAGGATGATACCACTACCAGTTCGCCTGATCAGAATAGGTAATAACGTCAATACTTTTCAGGAACAAGAATGATGAACAGATGGAGAAGACATCTTTAACCATTCATAGGTTTTTGTTGATGGACTATTTAGAATCAAAAATAAATAAGAAATATACTTCTGTTCTCTTTCTCAAACTTTAATAGCAGAGTTCATCAGCCCCTTTTGATTTCCAGAAAAAAGTGCTTGAATTCGGAGACGAGAATATTAATAATACGATCAGAATTTGATTGGAAAATCAAAATGAATAACAAGTGGATCTAAATGGCGATCAAAGTTTAGAATATTTTATGTGCAGTACTCATCAAATTGATTTCAGGATAATCATAGGAAAAGAGACAAAAGGATCTGATTTGGTAAGGAAAGTGTATTCGTTTTAGGGAATTTCCGGTTTATGAAATGGTCTGCACATCTAGCTGACAATTTCCAAATAGGACGAATCCTGGATCCTTCTGCTAGCTACATCCAACTAAACTACCATAATTAACATCCAGGCAATATCAAGGCATATGCCAATAGAGGTTGGACAATTCGATCCAGTGAAACAACGAAGAATTACAAGCATATCCATAATTAGTAATAATCTTATCAACCTTGTAAATACATTGTGTCAATGAATACTAATACCCAGGTGGCCTTGATGAAAGCCTTTTGTTAACCGCCTTCACATATTATGCTTCAAATTTATCAGTTAAATATCTCAAGACAACCGCTATGCTGTGAATGAGAAGCTACCTCTTATATCGATGCACATGACTGCCTGAATTGAGATTGGAATCCATAAAAACTAAAAATGATTGCACCAAAAACTTGCATTAATCCAACAAGTCTCTAAATATTTTTCTGTGCGATATGGAGAAGTTTTGGCCCACTTGTCTGATCTTGTAAGTTAGCCAAACTGACTGTTTGAAAACTTCCAAGGATCTGCGTGATAGTCAACCAAAGTAAAATAAGTGCATGCACTAGATATTTTCATCATCTTTTTTATTTCCTGTTTCTCCTTTTCTTTTTGTCTTAAAGTTTTCCTTAAAAGCTGTTGAACTTATTGCATTTACGCCTTTATCTTCACTTTTATTTGCCTACCCTGGATATGATGATATAAACAATGCAACCTAAATCTACATGTAGTTATAAGGATATCTGTGTTGTTATTAACAATTTGGTCAAAACTGATTGTCACCGTAAGTTCGAAAGCAGCCTTTCATCTCTTCTAAAGGATTCACTAACTGATTGATGATCTTATTAACCCCAAGTGACCAGATACTGACGCATATAAAGTTGTCTCATTCCGATATTTGTTAAACACATCACTTTTTAACAGTTTGGCTGAGATAACTGTGGTTTCCTAGAGTTGAAACGTCGAAACTGGGTAATGATTGAAGGTGAAAACACGTTTCACTCATAATTTGGCTAAGTTTTGAAAATATACAATCAATTAGTTGGTCAGTGTTTCGATATCTTGATATTCATTGAGTTGGGCTTAAAGAGTATTCACTGTTTAATCATATTAGAAACAGTGTTATTAAATTGTGAGCAGTATCCAGAATGCGAGTAATTAGACTTTTTTGTAGCTTCATCCCCATGAGTTTACAAATAATACTGAACAATGAACAAATTACATGCACTTTAAACTTACCCATAAACCATAATGCAGCTCCCCCACCTAATGCTGCATACTGACCAGTTCTCGGTTTACATTTCTCTGGTTTTTTCCATGTTTTTATAAGAAACGCACAAGTGATAGCAATAATCATAGCAACTACTATGATAACAATAATTTGTAGAGCATTTATAGCAGTCCTCATCGCTAGATAAGTAAATATATGTTGAAATGAGAAAAACACAATTATGGTTAAGAAGAATTTGTCAATTAGTCTTTAATTTTTCCTAAGTCTTGCTTCTGTCACCGAAAGAAACAAGAAGGCAGGTAGTACGGAAGGGATGGATATTGTCAGCAAGTCGTTAAATATGATACACCTTGCACTAAAACCATCATTTGCAAAATGCGCTTCAATTCCTCTTTTGTTTCTTTCTTGACTTGTTCTTCATACGCCTGTCTTGACTGTTACGTTTCTCTTGGCGGAATCCTTACCCATTTCTGGTAATTCTCTATGATTTCTGTCACCTTCTCAACATATACTACTTATATCCATTCTTATCAGCAACGCCCACTACAATACTACTAACAATAATAATAATTTGTTACATTGCATAACGATTATTTAAATGGCTGTTAAAATCTCTCAGACAATCTTCACTGATGGCTGTTCAGAGTAAGGATTAACTGATTATAAGAAACATCATGGAAGAGATTAGGTGCATTTATTCTGCTTATTAAGAACAAGGAGTTCAGTTATCCCTTTCGAATGATCTTCGGTTGTTTTCTGCGTAACCATACTTTTCGATGGCGCAGAGAAATCTCATAAAGATTTAGGAAACTACTCATAATAGGGAAAGGTCAATTTATTTACTGAACATTCTAGATGACTACCATATATGATAGATATTTTGCACAGCTGATTCTTTGGAAAATAAATCATTTCTTATGCTGTAACATACACTTCCAAATCATCCTAACTGGAGAATCTATTATTAAACATAAACAGTCCTTTAATGTACCTTATAATAATCATTTTGAGACAAACAATGAAGTTTAAAAAGTGTTATTCGAAAGCCAAATCTCTTTGAAGAAACTCTATGATGTGCGAAGTTCTATGTGATCTCTAAGTAACAGTAAATATAGTGATTTATAGTAATAATGTTCTTCTTTAATAACACTATTAATCTCGCCTATCAACTGCTAGTCTACACTAAGCATTCCATTTAAATTTGCTAGGGATTTAGGAATGGTTTTTACAAGTACTATCCACTTCAGAATCACTTGGCAAAATTAACTCAACAGTTGTAAGAGATAACTTTAGTATAACATTATTGTAAATTTCACATTTTTTACTGAAAACAGTTAATGAATCAAGCTGCATCAAATTCATACCCCATAAATCATACGGGTTAAGTACACTGAAAATGTAAACTTAATGAAACCATCACAAATTATGGTAGAAAAGGCAGTTTAAATTATAAGAAAAGAAAGCTGACAATTTTTTACGATATGAATTTGAAGAACACCAAAGAACTAATAATAGATCAGGAGATCTGGGTCAATAAATCGGATTTAAAATATTTGGATTCTATGAAAAAGCAACTGATGGAAGGAACATCAACCACCTACTAGTTAAAAAAGAATATCATAGTAAGACATAAGGTATGACTTTATAGAAGTGAAACGTATAGACCTTAGAAGCTGGATACGAAAAATTGAAGTTTATCTGAGAATTGGTACTATATACAGGAAGACAACTAATACGCTTAAGAAAAAAACTGTCAACTGAGCAGCTTTCAAAGGGAAAGAACAAAAAATCTAGGTAATAGCTAAATTCAGAAAATTAATATTTGAATTTTGAGGGGGTTGTAGGGATTTGGAAATGTTTCAAGTTGTTATTCATCGTAGACTGATATCAGTTGGAGGAACAAAATAAATCTGGGAGCACTGGACAGCTGTTTCGTCCTACTATGGGACTTCTCGGCAGTGCGCATCCGCGACCTTTAGGTTCCGTGGCCAGCACGTTGCCACTGAGCCACTGGGTCAGAACCCAATGGTCCATATTTTCAACTTCTGTCAGCTCACGATATAGCGCAACCGCCACCCAATGTCATCGTTGAGTAACTGTCCTCACGACCATCAGGCTTTGCCCCCACAACTCACGGCTTCTCATTAGAACTTCGGGAATGCCTCTCAAAGCTGAGAAATATGAAAGTGAATCCAAAGGGGTGATTATATCCAGCATGTTATTTGGTTAGTGTAATACATGAGATTCTGCTTTAGTTAGAATTCCAAGACCAGTATTTCATTGTTTTTTTTAATGTCTATTAGATATGCCTAGTTTCCTCAATCTTCGTGAAAACATATGAAGACAGTTAAGTGAATGAACTTGATTACGGGAATAACAGAAATTCACCTGGTAAGCAGTCGAAGGGAATAAGGTACATGAATCCATAGTGTACAGTTTTAACTTTGAAACATTTTCTCGTTTTTATGTGCGCCTACCTGCCTTATTACACCACCATTCACATTACGAATAATTTATTGTCGAGATATTGGTGTTTTTTCAAATGTTCTGTCTTATACTACAGATATTATTCGACTGTTTAAACTCTATCGCTGATCAACACTATACCCAGTACAGTTATATCCAGTGCCACACAAAATGATTAAAATGGCAGAACTGAACTTCATGTTACACTATACGTTCAGTCGAATCTGATTATCAGATGTTTGAATGTGCATAAATAGTTCATTGACTGATGGACTTATTGTGAAGCATGAAAACTGTTTCGTGAAATGCAAACAAGAAACACTGACGCACTATGTGTTATCTTAAGACATACTGGTTGTTTTTACTAACATAAATATACCTTTAAAGGGTTGAATTGATGCGTTTATGCGAAGGATTATTACACACTACCAAGTAGCAAATTCCAGTCGGAGAAAATGGTGACACTGTCATTCTTCAGAAATTCTTCATTAGGATGCACAAAATTTCGTCGAAGAAGGCAAAAGTGGCTTTTTACAATGGTGTGTAGATTTTCACGTAAAATGAAGCTCCTATGAAAGAATCATTATCAGCAACATCTTTTACAGAAAAAACTTTCTGTTGATAATGACTTCAAAGGAATCAAGTTATCGTAGACATCAGGATTATGCTCGCTTAATCTACTGAATTACACTAATCATCTTGTATTCGATTCCTTTAAGATCAAAGCATTTATCAACTCCGGACATCCCAATGAAAGACCACTGAGTGTATCTGATAGGATCTTGGAAGTCAGGAGTATTTAGACTCATTTATAAACTCTTTGATTTGAACAATTAATGCGTTTCATTAAGAAAGAATAACGAAACCATGCAACCAAAGTGAAAAAGAATTTCCAAATTTCTGTAAATATGAATCTTTCAACTTACATAATATTGGTTGCACATTTCCATTGAAGCCACTAGATCCATCGAAAGGTTCAAGTGCATAACACTGACCATTATACGATGAACTTACTATATTCATATAAACAAAAATGACAACTTTTACATGGACTTAGTATTTTATATACAAAATTAATGTGGTAAAAGTAAAGTATTTATAATGTTGATGTTATTGCTATTCGGTGCTGATTTCGATCACCAATAACATTATTCTCAGATCTTAGTTTCAGAGTTGGTTTGAGTATACTAAAGGAGTGAAGGATAAAAACTGAATACAGTATTATGTACTCAATGCGGTTGTTTTCCAGGCTTTAACGAGTAGAGAAAGGTAACAACATGATGTCAGTTAACATGTAAACTTTTATAACTGCCACCTATGATTACACAGAAAGTGGATAATCCAGCCTTTTTGACCTTGACAACAATTGAATATTGAACTTAAAGTCAACCCATTAGTAATGCATGCAAACTTGGAAACTACTTAAGAGTGGTAACTGAATCATTAAATAGACCTTAGTGACTGTCTTGAATTTCAAATGAAGTTGACATATCCAACTGCCTGTCTATACACTCAGATTAATTTTATTAATTACGTTTACTTACAAAGGTGACCGTTTAATCGGTCAGCAGGAATCACAAATGGTGAGTTATCCAGTGGGATTTCGCTATTGATATCATTTCTGACAATTTCTTTCCTTATAGCACCGTGACTTTTATAGCAGGTTGTAAAAGGTAATGTAAGTTACCAGATCGATCATATCGTGATACGTTTACAGATAGATGAATAGATAATGCAGTTTTTGGAAGCGGAGTGCAATATCAATTAGACAATAGCTTGCTGTACTTACATCTTTTGGTAATGTTGGTAATTATTAGTGAATTGTACCATAGATGGTTTCTATTTTTATGTTAACATCTAGATTGGGAATGCCTGACGTTTTCTAAATTATTCACCTCAACAGTTCACTGTCGAATGAACTCACTTTTACATTTCATTTACTTCAGTACTGTGGATAAATTAAGATCAGTTTGAAACTTCGCTTTGGTCGGTGTTTAGTAAAACATATATGTCATATATCGGACCATAGTTGAAGATCAACTGCTTACTTATGAGACCTTTGCCGTATGAAAGTTAGGTGACCAATATAAATCAGTAAAACCTGTAATGCAGAAAAGGTGCGAATTTTCATTCATTCAATATCTGGAATAATAAATGTATCGTATAGGCAATTTAAGTGAATCGAATCACTGAGTGGTGAGAATCAAGAGCGTTTTCGATTGCTTAGTAAAGCAGATAATAATGAAAAAGAAGAAATTGTTCCATTATTTTATGAGAGAATTGGTTGTAGTTATATAAGGAAATAGGGGAAACTAAGGATTATTAATTACCTGTTCTGTTTAAGCTTAGAGTACTGCACCAGTCGGGCACTGACGAACTAGTCGAAGATGGAGTACAGGACAATCAAGTCGTATATAGATTTTTCAATTTGGTATTCATCATGAACTGACATCAGTTGAAGGAACAAAGGAGACCTGAGAGCACTGGACAGCTGTCTCCTCCCACTTGTATGGGACTCCTCAGCAGTGTGCGCCCACGACTGCGCCAGGGATCAAATCCTCAACCTTCGGGTTTCGTCGACAGCACGGTAGCATTCAGCCACTAGATCAGAATACCAACTTGAAAAATCCTCACAAATCCCCAAATCTAATTACATAGACATTAGAATTCAGTGATTAACATATTCCTACTTTTATCGATTCACTAAATCGGCATATATCCATTCCTAAGCCGAAGTATGTTGATTCTACGGGTCACCGACCCAGACTAAAACTTTAGGAAATCTGTTCTGATGACTAGGTGATAAAGAGTTCGAAATAAGGAAGGGACAGCTCTTCGGTGTTCCCGGGTTTTCAGTTGTTTTCCAAATGGTATCTGACAATGGTGAAAACTCCGTTTCAATCAATCGATTTTTATGAATGATGAAGCTGTTTGATTACCCCATTGTATATTCAAAGTATTCTAATATTTTAAACGTATTATGCTAGGTGTTTAATTTCTTGATATTTTTACATCATTTTTAAACTTCTAGGATTTTCGCCTGAAAATACTTTCAAGTATAACTTTAATATATTTCCCACATCAAAATCTTGAAGATTATTTACGTCTATTGTGTTGAATGTTCACTGAAGTTTATAAGTGAACAGCCATGTTACTAACAGGAAGTAAATTAATCTGTGTGAAATCCATGAAGTAACTACTATCCCTAGTGATATTCTGCAACATGATAAATCATACTGATTTTTTATAGTTAACGTTGAATATTAACAGCTACGGACTCTGAAGGATAAATCTTTTATTTATTCATCATTTATGAAATGCGCTAACTTGATAAGTGCTTTATGGATGTAGTATAACTCAAGCCTACCATTAAACTACCCCGTAATCATAAAATCCAGTGTTTATTTACCCTTACGGTTAAAGTTTACTACTTTGAAGTCTAATAGCTCAAAATAACTGGCGAGAAGTTTCATGATTTTTGACACCATATTATCCACAGCCGTGTTGCGAGACGTACATTACAAGGATGGAGTTGTCAAGATGGTAAAAGCCAGTGGTTGAGAACTCTTGGTGACATGGCTGAAAATCAATCACAATAACGCAGGTGCATTCACTTCTTGTTGTCTTCTAAAGCTTTAATATTCACAGTAATCTTTATTTTCAGATTGTTTGTTCTGTCACACAACTGTTTCTACTTTGGTATCACCCTTTCCTTATCCATCTGTTCTTTGTATAGTACTGTAAAGTGCGGCGAATTGAATCGACGCACTTGTGTGCGAGGTTCTACGTTGATTCTGTCTATCTTTTATCACCTAGACATGTACAGGCATACAGTTTCAAGATTTTATTACAGTCATTTCACTAATTGTTTGCCTAGACATCCAACTTGAAAGCCAAATCTGAATGATAAGGATGATAGAGTCTTTGATGCAAAAATAAATCTCACCAATAGCTTTCTTTAAGGAACCATCCAAGCTATAAAATTACTGGTTGCAGTTCATTCATCTAATCTTTTGTTTGAAATTATCATAATTAAGATAGATTTTCCTAATTTCTGCAGCGTCCTAATAACAACTAGTTTCAATTGCTATTCCTTTGCCTGATCAATTAATCATTTTAAAGAGATTTCTTTACATGAAATGTATACAGTTAGTTGGTTTCACTTTCTTGGAGACGTATGATTTCATAGCTAACTTTTCAATTTCAAACTATGAAGTATTTTAAAATCAAACATTACAGCAAACTGAATTTAATCGACTATTTGGACTTTATATTTCAACTGAAGATGAAGTTGAACGACTGGCCTTGATAGTCAATCAGTAAACAAATGTGTGGTGGATTTCGCGAAACGTGAAAAGCTTTTACTGCTGTACACTTATGAATATTACTTCAAGTAGTTAGATTGTGAAGATAAATATTTCAGGCAAATTGAAATTCTCTAAATATACAGACAGTTCTTCAGTTGACAAACAAACTAAACACCAAAAACAGCTATTCTGGCAAGCTGATCGACAATATGAATACGCATAGACAAAACATGGTGAACTCACTCAAGTATAGTTTTTCAATTGCATTCAGTGCAATGTCTTACACCATCGATAAGATATCCCCTAAAACAAAATCCATCTAAGTGACCGAAACACATACTCTTAAATCCTGTCATCAAACTGGGAAATGCTGAGTAACTTATGATGTGAATCGGCTTCTTTACATCTGTATATTATCCTCAAGACGATCACAGAGTTATGCGTGTTAAGTATATACATAATTACATATTTGGTTGATACGTTGGACGACTTTATTACGAATTATCGTAGGATGCAAAAGCTTCTTTACAGCTCTTGAGATTCAATGCTAATGAGGTCCTCAACTGTCTGTCAGTTGCAACCAGACATCATATACAACGCATTATGTCACGGACTAGAGACCCAAAGAAAGGCGTATGTATATTATATCCCAGTAGGTGAGATTCGATCACTATTTGCAACTGAAAAAAGCCTTCCTTATGCCGTGATCGATAGTTTCCTTCCAGTTACATCCTCAGAAGTAATCTGTTAATATCGAATAACGGATTTCGCCTGAATAAACGTGTACCAACAAGTCAGTCTTGTTGATATAGCAGAGTGTAAGTTCGCGTTGCGATTGGAAATATCACAAACCAATGGACTAAACAACAAGACATCCAGTTGGATATTGATATACTCGGTTGCCGTTTTTCTTCAAAGGAAAAAAGCCATGTTTATAGTTCCTCTGCTAGTCAACACGAAATGTAATAGAAATCTGACTATAAACTAAAAGTACATGCACTATAGGATAATGGTCATTTTAGTGCTATGAATAAGTCAGTACTCGGACAGACAGAGCTCCTGCAGCATCCGGTCACGTATGTTGACCGAAATCCAGTCAATGAGAATAACGTTATGTGCAATTGCTGAACACTGGGTGATACATGATGCATTATTCAAGTCAAAAGTCATCACCAATCATTTCAAAGAAGCACAACACACACACCATCATAATTAACATGATATCACAACCCACATGAGTCCATGTCAGATGCATGCAACTGAAGCACTCAGATGTCATTACACTTTCAAAAACAATTGCACCTAACAACCAGTAAGTATTTGTAGACCCGAAAGAGTCACATTCTCATACAGATCAATATTCGTATCACACAACACTGTAGTCCAAAGTATTATCACTAAGTTATTGAGGTTGTGAGTAACATTCCAGTAGAACTGGACAACATACGTCGACTGGTCACTTCACAGCACTCAGTCTCCTGTCATCTAATACTCACTGCACAATGTATTTTGTTCATCATTTCCACCATAGGATTATGAAGTTGAGAGATTCTTCAACCTGGTTTTTCTTTCATCTTTTATGAATAATTATCGTTACTGGATACATTTATCATAGTTTACATTGTGTCTCAAACCACAAACCCAAGTTTCTGTCCACACTTAGTTATGGAACGGCCATGTACTTAAACTTTAGCTGGTGGAATGTG